TCATTCCTGCTTTCCATTGGCATAGTGGAACAATATGACATTCTTCCTATTCACAAGCACAGAAGCTGTCTTCATACATACTAAACAAATCACAAAGCCACTTTATAAGCAAACCATGCAGTATTTTAAAATATCTTAAACTTTATCATCCATGTCTACCTCTATCATTTTTCAGAATTTATGAGTTCTTTTTCATTAAAAAGTTGGCATAAAACCTACGTTTTTTAATTCTACTTGCTGACAAAAGACTATCATTGACTGGATGTAATTTTCCTTCCTTCCTTCCTTCCTTTCTCTCACTTTATTCTGTTCAATCTAGGTAAACCTACACTCATATTTTTCATGCAAAAATGATTTTTTAAAAATCTTCCTGCAGTTTTGATTTTACTCTAGATTCTTTGTTCCATATGTTTCCTTTTGTCCCACGTCCATTCTTTCCAAGATTTACACTCAGCAATACCAAGTCTGTTCTACATATAGAACGTCTTATTACATTATATCTTTTGTAATAGTCTCAATCTTTTATTAAATATACAACTGAATTACATTCTCCATATTTTCATTTTTCTTCCATGATTTATGTACACCCGAAAACCATCTCTTACATGTTATAATATAAAGTGCTTCCTAGCTTTGTAATGAATGTATAAAATTCATAGTATGCAAAATGAAGGCACTGTGGTCATTCGTTAGTGTTGAATCTGGGAAGAAAAGACACATTTCAAATTTTAATGACATACCTTAAATGGCCTACCTAAAACTATTTTATCTCTAATATTGCTACTCACTCAGAGTTCATGTTATATCTTTTTCACAAAAGATGGAGAATCTGACACTTGGTTTTGAATGTTATTAATATTTAATCAAATTTAAAATACAGAAGTATTGTCAAATTTAAAAAAATCTTTTAGTATGATGCATTTATTTATTTATGATTTATTTATACCTAATATTATTTTATTGTTAAAAATGTGAATTAATTTTAAAGTTTTAATCTATATAGAGTGTCCCTGATGAGCCAAAATTGAAATCAGTTAGAAACTAAAATTTTTCTGCATTTACACTTTTCTTCAGGACTTCTAGGTTTTGTCTGGCACTCATAGACAAAATCATTTAGACAGAAGCAATGACCCTATTAAATGGAAAATGAGCATAGAAATCAATGTGTGTTTTCAGTTACAGAGGCCTAAAAAACTCCTTTCATCTGCTTTTGTAAGAAAAATGTAAAACAGTTTTATTTTAATTTAAAGAGATTTGACATCTGATGACACATCTGGCATTATAGCTGGGTTTTTACCTTCACTGAAAGAATTCTAACCATTCGTGGCCAGGTAGTTAGCATAACAGGATCAATCTCTATTCTTCTTCCCTCCCTCCCTTCCTAGATTATGCGATTTCCATAAAGAAGGGAACAAATCAGGATGATAGGGATTTCAATTATTTCATAAGTGTAATATATTTCAGTTAAATATCTAACACCATATTCAAATATAGTTACCCGTGTTTCCCTGAAATTAAGACCAGGGTCTTATTTTCTTTTGGGCTCTAAAATAAGCACTAGGGCTTATTTTCGGGAGGATCTTCCTACCCGTGTACAGGAGGTCCACTTCTTCTGCTTGCTCACAGTGGGACTATGGCGCAGTGCTGCCGCCATGAGATGGGGGGAGCTGCCCCATGGGGGGCCCTGTACCGGCATACCTCAGGGCCCCCGCTAGATCATCCACCCACCAACATCTGCCTCGCCTCGCAGCCACAGCACTTGCATACCACTCAGTCTCCTGCTCTTTTGTGGTCGTGAGCAAGCAGAAGAAATGGGCCGGTGGCCACGTAGGCTTCTGCTGCACATGGCTGGCAATGCTGTCGCTGTGAGGCAGGTACTGGGGCGTGGATGACCTGGCTGCGGGGGCCCTGAGGTAAGCCAGTACGGGACATGTGGGGCAGCTTCACCACCATCCCACTTTGCCTTGTGGCCACGGCACTGCAAGCAAGCAGATGGAATGGGCAGCTGGCTGGCTACGCAACCTCTTAAGGAGGGCTTATTTTGGGGGGGGGGATTGGGCTTATATTAGGCACATGTGTAAAAAACATGCTAGGGCTTATTTCTGGAGAAACAGGGTATTACTCCAGTAATCCAAAATTCTACCAGTACTTTCTATTATTTTCCAGTCTATCCTACAATTTCTATACTTCGGTGAACAACCATATGTTCTTTTTCATGAATTAGTCATTATTCATGAAACATTATTCATTGTTTAGCTGATGCCAGCCGTCAGCTAAACAATGCCGGCTGGCGGGCCCGCGGGGGAGGGCCTTCTCTGTGGGTGCCCCAGCTCTCTGGAATCAGTTACCTCCTGAGGTCTGGACCATCCCCACCCTATTGGCCTTCCGAAAAGCGGTGAAGATCTGGCTTTTCTGGCAGGCCTGGGGCTGTTGATCTCGCTCTTGCAATCTGGCGAGATCCGGCCATGAATGGTGTGAATGAGTTTTAATGTTTTTAATGTTTTTAATTTTTAAATGTTTTTTATAATGATTTTAAATGCATTGTGAGCCGCCCGAGTCTTCGGAGAGGGGCGGCATACAAATTGAATTAATAAATAATAAATAAATAAATTATGTATTTTACATTCTTACTAGTTACCACTTTTTTTAACTTGAAAAATCTAAGCAAGATTCTGTTTGATGCTAGAGCGATATATTTTTTTATTTACATAGAGCACAGTGAAGCTTTTCTTTGCCTCAAAATAATTGAGGATACCTTGAAAATGTATCTAAAGGTAGAAGGCAGCAAGTCCTTTCATATAACTAGCTTAAATTTAATATGATTTACAGAATCCTTTGTACAGCTTTTTCAGTGCAGGAGTTGAACTTGATGGTGTAAATACCTCCCTCCAATTCTGTAGTAATATGATTCTCCATATTTTTTTTTTGCAATGATAGAACTGTATATTTTGGGATCCCGGCACTGAGTCATCGTACTAGCTGCCTGCAACCCTGGAACTGATTTCAGTTTTTCCCTGAAGGTGGCAGCTCTTCTAAATTGTGTCCAAAAGAGTAAAAAGCAGCATTCCAATTGACTTCTCCTTAGCTGTTTGTTTTGTTATATATTACTTTGTGTCTATGCGTGTGTGAATATGTGAGAGAAAGAGAGTAGTATATATAGAGAGGATTATGTATGTTTGTGCATAAAAGAAATGGTACAGACAGGGGAAATGTGTGCATGTTAATGGTACGAGAAAGAGAAAGTGTACAGAGGGTCCTCACTTAACGATCATGATTGAGATCTGCAACTCAGTTATTAAGCAAAGTAATCACTAAGTGGAACATCGCGATTTGACATCTTCAGCTCTCCTTGGTTTTAAAAATCTTCAAAGATTACAAATATGAGGATTGGTTGCAAGGTTAGTTTTTCATCACTGCCATAAGTGTGAATGGTTGTTAAATAAGGCAATCACTAAATGAAGATTACTTGCATGTGTATTTGGAAGGGGAGAGATGTGTCACAAGGGAAGAAATCTTGCTAGAGTATATAGTTTATATTTTGTACCCAAAAGACTGCCAAGCCTTACCTTAAGAAATGTAAATTGCTAAAATGGTTCCATTAATAGCAGTTCCTGCCAGCTGGACAGGTTATTTTATGTCTATTGTCCAGCAAGAAAAGACAAATGACAATTCAGTATATACATCTGCTTATGGCCTTATTGGAGTTGTTTCCTGTGCAGCTTCATTATCCCTATCCAAAACTTTGATTCAAGAAATTCCTCTTTTTTTCTCAAGTGCAATCTCTGAAATCCAAGAACTGTCTCAAACCTCCAACCAAATTAGGTGGGCTGTGTTAAAGGACATATAATAGGCAGTGAGACCATGTCCTAATAGTTCTGTTTGTGCCCATTTTCTCAATAGATTTTCTAACTCCTTAATCTATCATTCCATTAAACGAAATAAAGTTTTCATTTTCATTCTTGGAAATGTAAATATGCAGAATTTAATGACAAGAATATGCTGATATATATGCTTTTCATGGAAACATAATGTTTCTATCTGGTGGCATAGAGAATGAAACTGTTCAGAAGCGTCCAAGATGCACAGATTTTATTCCATCAAAATAAATGGAAGGAAGGAAGAAAAGGAAAAAGGAAATTCTAGTGTATCGTATGTAAAGGAGGAAGGCAAAACATGGATTACTGCAGTATTTAAATAAAATTAATTGCTCCTCTGAATTGCTAAATCAGTGTGAGACACAAGTTGTATTGTCACTCATGACTTTGAAGAAAGAGGAAGTGATAATGGAGGAAGAGAAAGCCTTAGTGGACGATCATTTATAGAACCTGATAGAAGAGAATATTTATAGCTCAGGGTTGAATTATGGGGTCCTTGATGCTCTCTGAGCTTGATTATTTTCTGGTAGACAGTTCATTACCAAACGAGGTGACATCATCAGCACAGAGGATGCTACCTAGTCTGGTAGCAAAACATCTGCAAGAAAACAACCAAGCTCAGAGAGCACAGACTCCCCATTTACTGATAATTACAAAAATTAATACATTACACATCCTATGGAAGGAGGTTTAGGAAATTAAATACTATGTTGAACCAACACAATATCATGGCTGTTAACACAGTGGAGAGAGCCTGTAATAAACATCTCAGTGGGGAGTTAATGCTATTTATTTTCATGAACAACTGTTCCCACAATTGATGTGTTCTAAAAAAAAAAGCATTTAAGCATGTTACTCAACTGCAGGTGTTAAATTTTTATTCTAAATTTCATTATGAACTAAAGCATCATATATTATTTTTATGTTGTTGATTAAATAGGAACAGGTTAAAGACATAATTGTTTACAAATGATTTTATTTGCTGCTTAAGAGGAAATGTAAATGGAACAGAGAAGTCTGTGATTAGTGTTTAACAGAACTGTCACTTACTGTAATTACATGTTTTAATGAGTAAAATTGCTACTGTGTTCTGCTAACAAAAAAAAACCTTTAATTCCTTTTCAGAATTCTGAGTAATAACAAGATCTTATGGCTAAAGAGCAACTCTTTCATTGGACTGAGATCCCTAGAGAGACTGTAAGTACTGTAGCTTTTCAGTGTTCTTATTTTTTTCACGTCGTGATTTGAATTTTCTAAATAATTATGCAAGATATAAGCTCTGTAATGAGTATTGGAATTCCCTGCTCAGCCTTTTTCGATGATAAATAAGCCTAAATAAAATTAAATTGCACAAAATTAAGCAGTGTTAATTTGGATCCAAAATAAATGGAAAGGAAATGGGACACGTGTATCTGCAGAACCTTTTAAAAGGAAGCATGGAAAATGAATGGTAATTTATTTTAGATTAAACAGCATGGCCTAATTAAATCCTTAGTTACTGTATATGTATATGTGGTTCAGGGGTGGGTTCTACTTACCTTTACTATCGGTTTGCAATGGGATCGTGCGTGCACGTTCGCTTCGCTGATGATGACATCTGGGGCGGTGGGCGGGGCCTCCGGCTGGTTTTACTACTGGTTCTTGCAAACCAGTCCGAACTGGGAGCAACCACCACTGATGTGGTTGTATTAGTCTTCTCTGTTAATAGTTGTGCCATATTTATCTTCATTATATTTGCTTAACTTGTCCTGATTTTCTTATGAAAGTTCTTGAATAAAATTAGTAGAGAATTATAGCAGTGGCTTCTAACAGACTGGATAGTAGTGGGTTCAGTATTTTAGTACTTTAGCCTTAATTTGATGAAAAACGAACATTAGCAAGATGTAGTAGATGTCACTGCTTATCTTCAAAAACCTTCTGTAGATGTTCATTTTCTAGTAGTATATTTTGACAATCTCTTATTTGAATACTGGGAATTGCTCAATTAGAAAAATTGCTCAATTGCTCAGTAACAATGGCTTCAAAAGTTGCTGAAAAGTCAGGAGAATTAGCAGAATAGTAGTAGCTTCTCCTTCATATGAGTAACTAGAAAATAAACAAATTGGAATCAATTCAAAAAAGTATTTGGGCAACTGGCATTAGTCTTTGGAATATAGCAAAAGGATTGGACTGCTTGTAAATACAGAAAAGAGAAACCCAGAGCTCCTTATGGCGGTCCAGGACTTCAGCTCTGCTGAAGGATCAGTAGGGTGGGTGGGTGGGTGGGTGGGTCTGTCTGTCTGTCTGTCTGTCTGTCTGTCTGTCTGTCTGTCTATCTATCTATCTATCTATCTATCTATCTATCTATCTATCTATCTATCTATCATATGGCTGCCCACCTCATAGGAAGTGACTCTGCACAGCATTTAATAATCATATTAAAAACGCTAGTAACACGGTTGTTAAGTGAATCTGCTCCTCCATTGACTTTGCTTGTCAGAAGGTTGCAAAAAGTGATCACATGACCCCGGGACACTGCAACAGTCATAAATATGAACCAGTTGCCAAATTTTATCACGTGACCAAGAGGATGCTGCAAAGGTCGTAAGTGTGAAAAATGGTCATAAGTCTTTTTTTCAGTGCTGTTATAACTTTTCTGTTCTGTTCTGTTCTTTGAATTTTTCTATTCTGACTTGTTAAAAATGTCTGAATGCTCCTTGTTGATTCCTGCTCATTTAATATTTTGGGTGTGTTTGTGGTTAATTTTATTGGATGTAAACTTCAGACTTATCTCAGATAATTTAAAAAACAGTTTATTTTGTTAATAGTAAATCCTACTGTCTTAAAAATATATTAGCATGTTGGTTTGTAAATAAGGCACATTTCATTTCTCCACCCTCCAAAGGAGTCCTGAGTCTCTATATTCCATTTCATATTGAAGAATACATTGCATATTGATAAATAATTACTGCTGTAGTCTTTAGAAAATACATGGACATCAGTGTTAACAATAAGCTGCTATAAATGGAAGGTTCTGTGGACTTTTGGCAAGAAATGAACTGGCTTTTTTTGGGATGTGTTTTGTGAACAAAAGAGACAAGCCAAGACTTCTTTAATACAATAATAGATTCTTCCAGCATCTGATGCAATTCTTTACTTGGAAACTTACCATTATTACTTTGCCAACTATCAGAAGTACTAGCCTTATACTTGAAAAGAAAAATAAATAATCCATAGCTAGCAAAATGTCAGCACCTGTTCATTGTCTCATATACATTACTCAGAAATAAGTTACCAGTGAATAGCAGCCATGAAGACCTATCCCTGAAGATGAATAATCCTGTTTTGTTATTTTTTTTTATGGCAGATGGCCAATAAACTGAAATCGATTTTGTCTTGTTAACTCTTCCTGTTGTGTCATTTTGTGAGCATTCTGACTTTTCCTGTTCCTGGTCTTCCCAGTTTTCCTTTCAATCTGTCACTGTTACTTTGAGACAGATCTTCTCTGCTTGGAAGTAAATCAGTCTCATCTGCTTCACATCTGCTCCTGCCAATCATGTCTCTCTGATTATCCTGCCAGCTTCCTCACAGAGAACTTACATTTTTGCTAGAGACATTTTCTCTTGTGATTAGTTTGTGGCTAAAATTATGTGCTGAAATATTAGCATGTTTTGTGGAATGGTTAAGGCACCAGGCTGGAAACTGGGAGACTTAGTTCTAGTTTTGCCCTAAGCAGGATGCTAGCTGAGTGACCTCAGGCCAGTTACTCTCTTCCAGCCCAAGAAAGCAGGCAATGGCAAATCACTTACAAAAACGTTGGTGAGAAAACTACAAGGTCTAGTCCAGCAGTCACAAGGAGTCAACACTGATTCACAGCTACAGACACACACTTTCAAGGCATTTGTGATGTTGTGCAATATAATAAATGGATCGCAATCTGTTCATTCAGTTCATTCACTTTTTTTTTAAATTTTACAGATGAAAATCTGTGAATACATTAAAGGGCTCCATTGTTTGAGTGTTGGTCTTTCACAAGTAGGTAGGAGTAGACAATGGGACTTGGGACGGCAGACTGATTTTGTGTATTTAAATATATAAAATCTATTTTCCTTTTAATTTTTAATGTACTACCAGCAGATATTGTTGCTGTTTATTGTATCCTCAACATAAAATTATGTTCAATATTATAGCAGAGAAAATGAATGTTACATTGTTCATAAAACCATAGAACGTAAGTGTTGAAAGAATTTCTTATTCAGACCCTTGGGTAGTATTGGATTCACTACTACAGTATCCTCAACAGTTGGCTATCCAGCCTCTGTAAATACTTCCAGCGAAGGAGAGTCCATCATCTGCTACCTCCTTGCAATTTAAACCCATAGTTTTTTTGTCCCATATTCTGGAGCACCTTCTATTTATCTTCTTCCCAGTCTGATCTTCTCTGCATTAAACATGTCCATTGCCTCCTACTGTTCCTCATAAATTACCTTTACATGTTCTTATCGTCTTGGTTTCTCTCCCCTGAATACTTGCTGATTTATTAATTTATTAATTTCCTTCCAAAGATATGGTGCCCAGAATTAGCCACAATGTTTTTAGGTGTGATCTGTCCAGTGCAGAATATATAGGAAAAATTGTAGAGGGGAAACAAAACAAACAAACAAAAAAAACAAAACAGTAGATAATAGAGATAACCGTGGAAGAAGTATAGAATGCCTGTTATCAAAATAGAATTTAAATCTGAGACAGGAAGAAAACATTAGAAAGAAGCTTGAAATAGCTTTGGTTTAAATCCAATATAAGAGGGAAGAAGGAAAAATGCTATCAGGCTTCCAAGCCTATATCTATAAAGTAGAGTTCCAATGTTACTTATGAGTCTGTTTCGTGATCTGTCCAACCTCTAAGAAATAATGATGGCAAAGATATGAAAGCAACCTTAGGAGATAAAATAAATAGGGAATATATCTCAGCCTTGGTACAGCAGTGAGCATAAGAGAGAGAGATAAAATAATCATAATTTGGTTTTGTACGGCATAAGAGGGGCCAGAGGAAAACACTGGTAGGCACTCATTTTTCATCCCTAGGTTGGATAATTCTTTTAGAACTGTACATGACTGTATATTTCTGAACAGTATAACTATTAGAGGAGATCATTACCCACTGCCTCTTATTTCAGACTTATTGGGAGCATCTTCAAACGGCATTCATTTTCATGAAATTGGACTTCATTCATGTGCTTCATTCATGTGCTTCAAAAGCACATAATTTGATCAGAATGAAATATGTATATTTAACTGCTTGATACCAGGTATGGTAAATTTGAGCACATAGTGTTGCTATTTAGATGGGTGACCAGGCTCAAATTATCTTACTTCAGGCATGTTATGGAAAGACTTGGCTTTCCTGGAAAAGCCTCTTAATGCTGGGAACGGTAGAAGGAAAGAGAAAGGAGAATGATCAGAAGTAAAGTGGATGCACTCAGTTACAGTGACAATGAATGCACCATTGGTGAAAGAACAAGTTAAGGATAAATTGCCATGGAGAAAGGATGTTGTTGAGAATATTTTTGGCAACCACAGAGCACCAAACCATATTCAGCTGGTTCACACTTCTTATAGAATACAAGACCATGAGTGCAACCTGTCACTGAAGATTCATTTTCCACATTCACACTTGGACTTCTTTCCTAAAAATCTAGGTGCATTCAGTGACAAACACCGTGAAAGGTTTCATAGGATCATTGCCATAATGGAAAAACGGTATCGGCAACCATCAATGCTGGCTGACACTGAGTACAAACAAAAACCAGCAGCAAAATGTTTTTAGCCCTGTTGAATTCATGGAGCATGTCAAAAACACAATGCAATTAAATATATTATAGTCATTAAAAGTTAATTTCATATTTCTCAAGATTCCTATATGATACTGTCATTCTGAAACTATATATATGTTCAAGTTGAAAAGTCTATCATAATGACCAAAAGTTTTTCAGGAAGCAACAAGTTTTAAAAAAATTATTGTCTAATGGTATTTGAGATGATTACACTAATTGGGAGCATGAACTTCTAAAAATAAACCATGTATGCTGTTCTAATGGAAAGAATTTCTTAAAGTGTGAAAAATACATTTTTCCCAAAGCAGTATAATACAAATGTAGTCAAGATGCAATTGTACAACCAAATATGTCTTACTATAAAATGTGTGAGTAATTGAAAGAA